CCCCCCCCCCTCCGGCGCCACAGCCCACGTCCGGGGCTTCCTCGTGCGCAAGCACTACGTCCGGATGTGCCTGCTGGAGATGCCCCTGCGCCAGGCCCTCCGGCGACTGGTCACCTCGACCAGCGTGACGGCCATCGCCGACGCGTGCCGGCTCCTGCAGCAGGCCACCTCGCTGGCGCGGTCGGCCTCCTCGGCCACCATCAACTCGGCCCTCGGGCAGCCGGTGCAGCAGGAGCGCGCGCGCGCCGGCGTGCCCTCTGCCGCCGGCGCGGCGTCCCTCTCGGCGTCCGGGCTGTTCGCTGTGGCGGCCGACCTGGCCGGGGGCGGGGTGGCGCCGAGCCCGGCGCGGCCGGGTCCCGGGTCCCGGGCCTCGGCCCCCGGCCCCGGGCAGCTCCCCCCCGGCGAAGACCCCCGCACAATGCAGCACTATGCCCAGCTGGTGCCGGAGGACATCCTGCTGCTGGCCCGGTACCAGCCGAATCACCCGCTCCACCGGGAGGTGGTGTCCATCCTGGCCAACCCGGGGAGCGATCTGTCCGGGCTGTCGGGGCTCCTGGCCCGGGGCCGGCCGCTGCCCCAGCCGCCGGCCCTGCCGGCGGCCGATCACACGCCCACCCTGCCGCAGGTGGTGGCCACCCGCTGTGCGGCCCTCATCGCCAATGGCCTGGTCGAGTACCTGGTGGCGGTGCTGAAGTCGTGCGACCGGTCGCGGCCGCATGTGCACCTGGCCCGGCGGGCCCTGTGGGTCTTGGTGAACCTGTGCCTGCAGCCGACCTGCCTGGCGGCCGTGGTGGCTCGGCTGCTGGCGGCCCCGGGGGCGTACTCGGCCTCGCGATCGGCCGAGACGGTGGGGGTGCCCACCGGCGGGGGGGTGCCCCTGCGGCGGGGGGGCGCCGCGCGCGGTGCCAGCCTGGCCGCGCCCCGGCACTCCCCCTCGGCGCTGGCCTCGCGGCCACTGGCCGCCGGGCCCGGCTTGCCGCCCCCGGCAGCACACCACCCGACCGCCGCGGCGCCGGCCCCCCAGTGCGACCTGGTCTTCCTGATTGACCTGCTCCAATCGCACCGGGACCACATCGAGGTGGTCGAGCCGCTGGTGGCCCTCTTCTGGCAGATGGCTGTCGGGTTTTCGGAGTACCGGCAGGCCCCGGCGGGGCGTGCCGGGCCCGGCGTGCCGGACCACCACCGGCCCGGCTCACCATCGGCCCCCGGGACACTGGCCACCGCCGGGGCCCCCGGGCGCCGGGGCAGCCCGCACGGCCGCCCCCCCGGGGCCGATCTCGATGCCAGTGCCCTGGACAGCCTGTGCCTGCTGCCGGAGCTGGTGCTCCTGTCGCCCGGGCGCCTGCGCGGCCAGAAGCCGGCCGGCGCCGCGGCCGGAGCCACGCCGGCCGACCCGCATGGCGGCGGCGCCCCGCCCCCCCCGGGCGAGGAGGACCTCCTGGGCCTGCTGGCGACCGATCCCGGCCGGGCGGCGGCTCTGCCGGCCCGCCGGGCGGCGGCCCTGCTGGTCCAGTGGCTGCAGCACCCGCACGCGAGCCTGGTCCTCGGGCGCTTTGGCGATGTGGCCCGGCTGATCGAGCGCCGGGCCAGCCTCGATGCGCGGGCCCTCTCCGCCCGGGGCGGGCCCCTCAGCGGCAATGTCATCGGCAATGCCGGGGCCGGGGCCGATGCCCTGCGGGCCACGCACGAGCGCCATGTCACCGCGGTGGCCCGGCTCCAGGACATCCAGGCGGTGCTCGCCGGGGCCCGCGCCCGGCCGGAGCCCGTCCCCCTGGCGGGGCACATGTCGCGCGTGGTCTTTTGAGGGCGCGCCGCGGCCGCCAGGCACGCGAGACACAGGGCACGTGCGTGCGGCGCGCGGCGTGCGGCGGGTATCGAGGCAGCCGCGCCGTCCCGGTTAAGTGGCGGGTTAAGAGCGCGTCACGTGGGAAGCGGGTGTCACTTTTGACACCTTAGCCCTCGATCGGCCGGCCGCCTCCCGTTTGGGCCCGCAGGCGCGTGCGCGCGCGCGCGCGTGTATGTGCGCAGGCGGGCCCGCTCCTCTGCGGCACCTGGTCGCTCCCCTTCGCCATCTCTTCGCCATCTCTTCGCCATAGACTACACCACGGACCTGCGTTCACCTTTTCGTCTGTATGCTGTGTATGCTGTATGTGCTGTGTGTGTGTGTGTGTGAGTGCTGTGTCCGGCAGCGGGCGATGCGTCTGTCTGGCGGATATGGGGGCGATGAGGGGGGGGGGGGGGGACCCGGGGCAGATCTTCCATTCTTTTGTGCGGGCCGGCCAAAGCCATGACGAACACGCGAGGCTAGCCACCCTCCCATCACCCCCGCTCGCAGCATTGCCTCCTCACCCCAGCACCCGCCAGAACGTCCCCTGACCCCTCGCCACACACGCACGCACACACGCACACACGCACACACACACAAACCGAAGCAACACTCTCCCGTGCCCCCCGCCCCCCCGCGCTCCACCTCCCTCTCCCGTACGTGCCTGCCCAGGAGGATGGCCGGGTCGATGCTGCAGGCCGCCGGTTCGGCCCTGCTGGCCCGATCCACACATGCCCAGTCCCAGAGCACGGAAATCATCCTCCTGGTGCTGGCGTCCATCGGTGCCACCATCGCCTGGGCGGCCACCGCCATCAATGTGGCTCTGGTATGTCCCGTAAAGAGCGCACCCGTCGAGCCTCGGGGTCTCGGCCGGGCGTGGCTCCCCCAGCCCCCCCCCCCTCCCCCCCCCCTCCCTCGCGCCGCACGCCGGGCCCTCGGCCGACACTGACCTCATCGGCTCCCAGCACATGGTCAACTGGCGCTGCGCCATCCGACAGACGGCCCTGCTGCGCGTGGTCGGCCTGCTGGTGGTGTGGACCACCTGCTCGCTGATCATGGTCATCTGGCCGGGGCAGAGCGGCCGCGCGGCCAAGCTCGTCATGGACGCCTACGAGGCGGGCCTGGTGGTGCAGCTGGGGTCCCTGACCAAGGCCTTCGCGGTGCGTGACCCGGGTCGGGGCCCAGGCGCCCGGGCGCCCGGGCGCCTGTGTCTGTCTCATGCCCCGGGCGGGGCCTCGCCCTCGCCCGCCCGGTGACCGCCGAGCTCCTCGCCCTACTGACACCTGGGCCGCCCCTCATCCCCTCTCGAACCGGCTCGCCGTCGCCCTGGCGCCCGCGACATCGGCATGCTCCATCCCCCCCGCCCCCCCCCCCCCCCCCCCCCCCCCCCCCCCCCCCCCCCCCCCCCCCCCCC